TGAGTCATGAGCACAGAACTCATAATGAGGGCTAGTTATGCTTGATGATCTAGATGTCATGTTAACCATGTGCATTCTCCATCCTCATCAAGTTGGTCTGTGAAGACAATGAACAGAATTGTGTGGGAGTCAAGAATGAAAGGAAAAGGAAATTTACCTTTAAAAATATTCATGAGCAAGCTCTTCCAGAAGACACAGAGCATCTACACAAGGAGCTGGTGTGATATGGAGAATGGCAAGAAAACAGAATCCTCATGCAAATACCCCTAAATGAGTTCAGTACTGGAAATACTGGGCTGAAGTGAGGGAAAGGGTTCCAGTTGAAACTGGAAAGGTACACAGAGGACCAGCACAGTAGCCTACTGGCCATTGTATAGAATGGGAACAAAATTCCAAGTGTGATGGAGAGGAGAATTCACTTCTCAAGAGGCGTGTGGGCTGACATATGTGCTTCTTGTATCTGGCTGAACTCACCATGTGCAAAATCCACAGACTCTCAGTATCACCAGACTCCGATGCTACTTTCCTGGCCCTCCAAAGTTCTGGTTCTTTACTCCCAGCAAATATTTATTGAGAATCTATGCCATGAAAATGCTTTGTGAGTCCCTATAGTGGTCGAATAACAAAATATTGCTTTCTGCATTTTTAAATTTCCTCACCCCCACATCCACCCTCACCCCCACTCTGTGACCTGGATTGTAAAACCTCTGTGCTGTTCTGCCTAGTTCAGGGTTTTCTTTCTGCGCATTTAGTATCAACGATGATGCTAGATCACTGCCATTACTAGAAGTATTTACTACAGCACTTCTAATGCAAACAGAGCTTTCCAGCCTGCAGGCTTTGTTCTATGCCATATACATAGCTGAACACATTTGATTGCCACAAAAATGCTGCAGACTGGCTTTTGACATAGGATGGCACATTGCCTCTTTAAGTGTTCTTTTTGAAGGTTATTTTCCTCTGTTCTCTTTTCAATCCATCCTACTCATTTTATTGGCAGACTAATTGTCTCCACAACAACAGAAAATGTCCTCATATCAAGCTGAAAGCCACACAGTTCTCTGTAAGCAGCATCCCAATTTATGTTCTCCACCGTGGTCAGGGTATTTCTGGGGATTCAAAAAAAAAACCCTGTGGGGCTCCACTGCCTTCATAATACTGAGGTGGTATTTGCTTTTTACTTACAACTTCTCCTGAGTATACAGTAGTTTCCCAAGGCTGCACAGTGTGGAATATCATAGCAAACTGAGTACAGGGTACCAGAAACTGGCATTAGATAAATTTCCAAAAACAAGATGGAGCAGTACTACTTTCTTAGCTTTTTGTTTAGAAAAACTATGAAAGGAGATTCAAGTTTGACTGAGTGACAGGAAGTCGGAATGTGAAGTCTCGAGACTACATACCCACTGAATGTCTGATAACCCTGTTGAGGTTTAGTCTTAGGATAGGCAGAGGAGGGGTAGAAGTCACAGCCAGGCTGTGGAGAATCGCACAGTGACCAGTGAGAAGCAATGCCTGAAGTTCCAGTGTGTAGCCTGGAGGGACTGCAAGCTTCCTGGTGAAAGTAGGCTTCTGACTAACGTGGTACCCAAGCGATCACCATGACAACAGTTCATATAGAGTGGCTGCCCTCAGCCTGAGATGGGATATGTGGCAAATAGGACCTATAGATCCCTGAGAGAAAAGCAGAAGCAACTGGGAATGCATTTGTGGCTCCAAAGGTGAGAACATTGGACTAGAGGTCATGTTAAGTCCAAGTGGTAGCAGCAGAAGACAGTAATATTAGCTAGGAAATCAGATACAAAAATGGCTACATATAAGTATAGGAGAAAATATATTTAAAAATTTTAATCTAAACATTTATCAAACCTAATTTAAAACTTTTGTGACTCAGATAGTTAAAAGATAATCCAAAACACTTGAGCAAAAAGACATACGATTGACAAACAGGTTTCTGAAAATATGTCCCTGGAGAAATGCAAGACAGAACTACCACATATTACTGTACTCCTATAGCGAGCTTGGAGCATGGCAGAAGCGTCACTGTGGAGGAAGGAGTGGGATTCTAAGGTACAGTCTGATCGCACGTTCAGGAAACTGGCGTGTGCAGCATGCCCTTGCACCCCATGAGCAATTGGGATTACACTGTCAAGTCAATCATTAGTCTTTTCTTTCAATACATCTATTTTGAAAATAGTCTGAGCAACTGACTGTGAATATGTACGAAGTGGGTTGGACCTAACTACTTAACCAAAAAATGGTTAAGACACCAAAAGCCCTGCAAGTTTTCTGGCATGCATAGTTCCCAAGTTGCAGCTAAGAAGTATAGAGGAGGATAAGGAATAGAGGAATCTGCTCATGGGCACAGAGTGGGATGGAGCCTGGGGTCCAAGATAAAGCCTGGGCTTCTGACCTCCTTTATTCATGTATGAGCTTATTCAGTAGTACCTGGAGGCAGGTCCCAGTGACAAGGCGGATGGCCAAGGGAGGAGAGAGCCTTTTCTTGGGCTTAAGAAAGGGAAGCAGGAGACTATAGAAAGTGACTATATTTGGGGTCCCACAAGACTGAAAAATTCCCCCACCTTCAAACCAGGGAAAAGCTCAAGGAACTTGGAAGATGGCTGGATCTTGAATCCTATTCATTTGCTCCGAGAATGTTCCTGGATTTTTAATCCGACCTCAGTGCACTTCGAGGAATGACAATGTGACCCTTTTCCTGTCCTGCTCAGGGCGCCTTTCCCCACTGTTGTGCACATATTTCCATCCTCTTAAGGGGTCAGGAAAGCCCTTCATTTCAAAATCTGATTTGTCTGCATCCATAATCTTCCTGTTAGCCAGGCGATCTGCATAACAACGTGGCATGAAACATTCTTACCCATGCTTCCCAAAACACAGAAAGAAACCTCCACGATAATGGACCGCATTAACTGTCTTAAGCAGGGCCCATTTGCAGATTAAATTTGCTGAGAGGGCAGCTTGCAGCTGCCACTGTGTTGCAAGCCTCACGTGTCACCTACTGTGACACATCTTGAGAAAAGCCAGGGTCTTTTCCAGTCTGCTGATTCTCCGTTTCAATTAGAATAGATTTAGAGTCCCCAAGCTCTAGTTTCTAGGTGGCCTTGTACAATATTATTAATAATTCAATCATACCTGGGCTGATAACAGGTCACATTTCCACCACCCTACACACACAAAGCCTGGGCAGATTAAAGGTCTACTCCATGGCTAATTTCTTTAGCAGTTTCATATCTGATTGACATCCATTTATCTAATTGCTGCTAGCCGATTTAATTTCATTTTGTTAGCTTAAAAATAAACGGGAAAAACCTGTTTACTTTTTAAATATTTGGCTCATTCTTTCTCATCGCCTGAAGCCTGTTAAGATATTCTATTCCATGCGGCGGATCTTATAATTTATCAGTTTTCATTTTCCAAATTCATTTCAGCCGAGTCTCGCTATTTACAATCTGAAGTCAATATAAAGTTTAATCTTTCACTGCAAATAATTTCATGTTCGTGTGAGCTCAGTAATGAGGAGGGCAGCAGGGTGTTCACTGGCAACCTCAGAAAGTTGTAGAGACAGACATCTGAGAGAACTAAAGTTACTTTAGCCCTGTATGCACTGTGGTACTCAGGACAGATTTCTTCCCTCGGGTCTGATAAAAGGATGTAATGATTTGGGGATAAAAATTGTACGGGGTAAGTAGGAGAGCCACACCCTTAAGAGTTGTACAGCATAGTCAGCACTCATACAAGACTAGCGCGAGCGTTCCCTTCTTAGGTGTCTACAGTTGGCTTGCAGCGTGCTGCAGCTCGCTCCAGGTCCCAGTCCGGGCCCCAGTCTCTGCGCACAAGTTGCCTTGTTTGCAAAAGAAGGTTGGTTATGGTTCCTTTCCTTCCTAATTCACATTTTCGGCGGATATTTGCCTTACAGTTTTATATATGGACACTTTGAACAGACCACCCACATCTCCCACCTCCCTGTTACCCCCAGCTACCCTTCACCCCTCCACAAGCTCTCATGTTCAGGCTTTTGTTTTCATTTTATGATCCATCAAGATTAACGAAGGCCACCTGTGTGACCATGGGTTTGGTGCTATTCACTGGTATCCAGTGGGCTCACAGAAGATATACAAACAAAGATAGTGATAGTGACCCTCCCGTTCCCAGGATCTATGGGCATCCAATAGTTCAGTAGGAAAGAGCAGGGCCCTGTAGAGGTCTTGTGCAGGTCCAGTGCAGGTACCTATAGCTGATATGAGTTAATGACTGCAGCACATATACAGGTTGACAGAATGGCCTTTCTTAATCCTTCTTCCTAGCTTCTGGCACTTACAACTACCCCACTCCCAACTCTTTCACAGTGTTTCCTAGGCTTTGGGGTGCTGGTGTAAGCTACTTGTAGTAGTTTATGTTTTCTTTTTAAAAATGATGTCACCAGCTGTTCCCCAAGTGCGGCACGGTTTGTCTCCTGTGAACCTTTCGGCCAACATCTCCTAGTGCTCTTTCTGAAAGTTTTCTACACTCTGATCACACTACACACTACCACAGAACTTTTACATATGCTGTCCACAGTCTAGAAGGCTCTCCATCCATTTTCACATAGTTAACTCTGGTCTGTCCTCATTATTTCAATCACATGTCCTTAATGCTTACATAAGGCCTCTTTGACTCATAGTTGGTACTTAGGCAATCATTTATCCAATTGATTGTTACTACTTCAATTCAGTAAGTTCCCAAAGGGCAGGGATTTGGTTTGGATTAGCCGTTGGGTTCCTATCCCTATGTAATCAGTAGGTGCACAACAAACAACAAGATTGACAAAGTCATACTTTTACTGCCTTATTTGTGATAAGCACACCCTTGCCAGGTACAGGTCATGTGCTACCTCACATGGGGAGCCATTTCCTTCTGTACAGACAGCACGCCCTGCTTGTTTTTCCTCACAGTGAACTCTAAATGCCTCCTCCCACTCATTCCGCTGCTCACTTGAATCCCATTTCCTTTCTTGCAGAGCTACGTCCTCAGGCTCACCCATACTGGTTGCTACAGAGAGGTCGCGTATTATGCTTGGTTGGGCAGAGACAACAACTGATGCCACATTTCCCACACTCAGGGTTCCTTCAACACCATGGGGGATGAATCACCGGCAAGAGACACTATGGAAGTGAGTAAGTTTCCTGGAAAGCTATGGGATGCGGTAGGAAGTGACATATTTATCATTTGAGGAGACAGTGGCCACTTCCTGAATGAAGGATATATCTCTCTCCTTTCTCTCTCTCCTTTCTCTCTCTCTCTCTCTCTCTCTCTCTCTCTCTCTCTCTCTCTCTCTCTCTCTCTCTCTCTGTTCAGAATTGGTTATTTTCCTCCATCTCTCATTACATTAGTTTTGAGATGGGCTCTCTTGCTGTACCTGAAACTCACTTATTTTGGCTATACTGGCTGGTTAACTCCAGGAATTCTCCTGTTTCCAGACAGCTAGCCCTGCCTTGCCAGTTGTCTGTCTGTCTTTTCTTTCTTTCTTTCTTTCTTTCTTTCTTTCTTTCTTTCTTTCTTTCTTTCTTTCTTTCTTTCTTTCTTTTTTCTTTCTCTCCTCCCCCCTCTCTCTCCCTCCCTTCCTTAGTTTCTCTCTGTCTTTTTTTTTTTTGTGCAGGGGAGCTGCACTCAGGTCCTCATGCTGTGCAGAAAGTACTTTATGCACCACGCTGCCTCCTTAGCCATGACTAAGTAGGAATTGCTATCATGGAGAGTAGAGGCCAGGGAATGAATACTGAGGAGAAGGGCAGAGGAAAGATGTTGAGGTATTCTGCACATACTCAGAGTTGGCTCGCCCCTCAATTCCTTTTTCTTTCAACTGCTCATTTGTCTATTGGCCCCTGTGTTCATTCCTAGCAAACAGTAAGTTCTGCCACACTGGCAAATTCTAAGCTGATGTGCAAATATAACTGTAAGACAAAAGACAAGTCTCATGCATGCTCTCTTCAGAACTATCTACTGATGTGCCTCCATCCTGTGTATATCCAAGACAAGTTATTAAACTTGTGTCATGTGTCCAACCCTTCATTGGATACCTGTGAACAGCTTCATTTTAGACCCTTCATCCTGCGGAGATCTTGTCTGACTGGGAAGGAAAGGTATTCTAGAGGCATAACTAAGTTTAATTTTGGCTCAAAGACTTTTTGCTGTGATTTCAGAGGCATACTGTAAGCCAAGAGCTTCAAATAAAAACAATGATAACCCAGTATCCATTCCTATTATCAGTACTCTCATTGTCTATTCCTGATAGTAGGAGAAAAGAGAAAGGACTGGTGCTGAGGTAACTGCCTGACTCCTGACGGAGGGAGGGAGGGAGGGAGGGAGGAAGGGAGGGAGGGAGGGAGAGAGGGATCCACGGGCTTTACACTCATTAGTGCGACTGACAACATAACCCAAACTTTCAGATTAGCTCAATAGCCCCGTCAGAAGCACCTGAACGAATCCCCCACGTGGTAGAAATGGGCAGAAATAGAGGTTACTATGTATCACCAGGGAACACTGAAATTCCATTTTCATCTGAGCCCTCTCTACTTTTTGACTTCCCTCCTTGCAATAATTTTTTTCCCAAATCTGTCAAATTAAAATGAGTCAGTCTCTTAATCTCCCTTTGCCCTTTCCCTGAGGGATTCCACAGGGCACAGTCCTTGATTTATGGCTTCATATCCATTTTGGAAAGGTGAAACTGAATTGAACAGGGAGAATTGGAGGAACTTGGCCTTCCTTTCAAATAAACACAATAAATGTACTTGAGTTGGTAGCTCAAGTTCAAGGCCTCCAAGCTGAGCTCATAAATCCTTTTGTGAATCCACGTAAGACCCTAAAGAGAAATTCGATGATATAGAGCTCCCCATCTTCATATTTCCTATGCTCCACAGCGGTGACAGTGACCCAGTGTTTTCTGTTTTCTTCTCACAAAGCCCTTGGTTTTTGTTTTGTTTTTTTAAGTTCAGGGGAAACCTAACTCCAAAACTCTGTGGTTATAAACAACAGAGACAATGGCATGGTGGAGAGCAGGTGGGTTTGAGAGGCAATATTAACTCTGCCCATATGAAATAACAACAAGTATAAATATTTAATTCTAATGTTTGGAAAGGAGGAGTTCCTTGAAAGTTGATTTTAATGCGTATGTAAATTAATTATGATTCATGACATTCCTTACACAAATCATTTATTTCAGAAAATGATGCAATCACTTAAAAACAATATTGACATTTTGAGTGTTACAATACCCTTAAAGAGGTATTTTATATCTGTCTGCAAAGGGGACCTCCCAATATGAACAAGATGAAATGCTGAGTTCTGGCCACCACGGCTTCAGTTGGTATACTTGTACAAGTTGGGTTTTAGAGACGATCATTAATGGAGCCCTTTGGGAAGTGCGGATGGGGGGAGGTAGCAGTTAAAAAAAATCTCCCCAGGATACATGCTAATGATCTTTGTGATTTCTTAGAAACCATTTTTAAAATCTCTGGCCATGTTCTAATTCAGTATATGTCTGTAACCATTTCCAAATTTGATTTCCTCCTAGTATAGTTAGCTAAAAAAACAAAAAGTATTTAAAATCTGGGATCCAATTAAACATTCAAATGACAAAAGAAGTTGTTTTCAACCAGTTTGACTACGATCTAAAGAAGACACACCCAGAGATGACCCTGATGAAGAATACCAGTCACATGCTGGTGCCCCAAAAAAGCAAGAGATTTTTTTCAACAACAACCTGCTGTGTCAGGCTCCATCCTGACACAAAGATATGGGTTTAATGACCCTATAGGAGCTCCAAGGAGACTTGGCAGGGGCTGTTATATCTGCTGAAGTTTGAGGCCTGAGCACTTCAATTCTTTCTCCAGCTCAAAACCATCTCCCACTAACTTCCTGCCTTCAGAACTAGAATCAACAGTGACTTATACAAGCATAACTATCATAAAGACAGTCCAGTTAAAGCATATAGTTTTATACAAGGCCAGGATATCATTGTTCCCTTCTTGTTTATTTAAAAGAAAATTCCACGGTCCTATTTCCTACGTGGCCCCAAACGTCCTTACTTTGCTTCAAGACTTTGGTCTGTGCCACACCACCACCATTTTTATTTGCCAGCTCCAACATTCGTCTCACTGTTTCCCACTTTTGTCCCCTGAAATCTAGTGCACTTTGTTAAGTAGCCAGAGAAAGCACATTTTAGGGAAATCAGAGTATGCTGGGTTTCTATATAAAAATCTTTCAACGTCTTCTCATTGTATTCAGCATAAAACAAAATTGCTCACCCTGGCATTTAACTAAAAGTATCCTTCCCATGTTTTTTTTTGGCAGACTTAGCCTTTCTCATTCATACATCACATCTCCGCCTACCTGATCAACCTAGAGGAGTCTCTCAGTTTCTCTTTCCTTCCCTCCCCCCTCTCTCTGACTCTCTCTCTCTCTCTCTCTCTCTCTCTCTCTCTCTCTCTCTCTCTCTACACACACACACACACACACACACACACACACACACAGATATTTGAAATTTCTGTAATTATAGTCTCTCCAGAATAATAACACATAAAACTTCAGCAACCTTAGCAGTTCACAGCCACCGAAGATGTTCAGTCTGTGCATTACAATGATGATGCCCATCAGTGTAATAGTGACACACATCCTAGGGTTAACCAACCTCCTTCTAACTGGATTTAAGGTCTGCTTCTTGGGAGGAAGTATTGTAATTATGACTGAGAGCACTCGGTTTGGGAGCTCACAGGCCCCAGGGGTAAAAGTATTATTATTTTGCTATATGAATGTAGCATCAGGCTGCTTTCTAAACCCTATCTCTATACCCATCAATTAGCGCAGCTCCTGAACCTCGTTAAAGAAGTCTCCTCTTACGATGGATGTTTATTAAAACTGAAATGCAAACCTGTGCGGAGAGTAGGTGTGGAGTCCTCAGTTACAAATGAGACATCTATTTTAATCCCTCCCCGCAACGTTCATGGACCACTGTGGGAGATTGCAGCATGGAAAGGGTTTAAGAGCCAGAGGTCAGGGAGGACCAGGGCCATCACATCCATGAACTCTCAGTGGCTGTGGCTGCCTGCAGAAGATCTGAAGAAGATCAAGTCTTCAACGTTCCAGTGTGGCTGTGTGTGTGTGGGTGGCTCACAAGCTCCAACCCCTAACTAGGGATCTAGTGACACTGGATGGCTTCTGAGGGAAGAAAAGCCAGTTTCTTTCCGTGTGTAGCTCCTGGTAGGTTTGACCACACTCCAGAAGATGATCCTACACCCCAGGACACATGGGCAATATAAATTAAACTTGGTGGGTCATAAAAAATGAGGGAATTTAGAGGGTACAGAGGTGGGGTGAACCTGGAAGGAGTTATGGGAGGTGGGGAGTAAGGAGTGATTATAACCAAAATACATTGCATGTCTAAAAAATCATCTACTTAAGAAAAAAGATGTTCCTTTACCTGAGTCTAGCTGTCACTGTCAGGTGCAAACCTAGAGAGGGAATATGCCAGGTCATTACATTTGATAATAGGTCAGACTCAGTATAAACTCAATGCTGTGTTGAGCACTGGTAAAGGAAATCATTATTTTTATTCACTTTGAAGTGGTCTATACAACAAACTCCTAGTTTGTATCTAGATATCTATTCTCAAACCCCACATTAGCTGCAAGACCAAGCTGATTTTTTTAAAGGGCATTTGAGTTTTTGAGTCATTTAAGACCCAGAAAAATCAAATGGAGATGAGATTCTAACCAGAAGTTCCCAGATATTCATTTTTGACAACTTGAGAGAATGTTCTCTTCCTCTGAGGGGACAGTAGGTATTGCCATATTTTAGTCAAGTGTCTTCAACTGTGCAAGTTATGAGTACTTGGCAGAGAGTGACAAAGAAAACAAGAGATTTCTCTGGCTTCTTGTTTGTCTGCCTTATGGCTATTGATCTCCCAAAGTCACACCCAAAATCTGGCATAATATTGGCATTCAAAATCCATGGGGTCGGTGACTGAATGTGTACAGCTACCGTGTGGCATGGCAGGGAGTCTAAGATTTCTCTGACTACAGATCCTTTGTGGTCACTGCATATTGACCTCTGTCGTTTGAGTAGGCATGGCAAGGTTTCCCGGTACCACTCTTTGACCCTTGCTGCTCCAGGATTGTCATTCTCTGTGTTTGTATTTTTCTTATCAACTATCTGTAGTTGTCCTCACCATTCATTTGCTTCGAGTCAGGGGCATTCTTTGCACGCATGGCATAGGAACTCAAGACCCCAAACTAATATGCGCCCTGCTCTTAGTCTCAGGGATTATTGATGCAAGTGGCAGCTTCATTTGATAGATAAGGATCTTCACTTAACAGAGATGTTTGGATTTACGCTCAAGGGCACACATGCTGGGCAGGCCTGGTGCCAGAATCTCACCGCTGAGGTCACCTCACAGTTTTATATAAATAAAATGGGCTACAGATTCACCATTGACCATCTGAGTGCCAACTAAAATTCTAATACTACTGTACAGCCCGTCAGACATTTTAAGTGTTTAATGCAATCTTAGGTCACAGTGTAAACACAGCAAGCCCTAAGATGAAGGAAGTGAACAGTGTGAGGAACAGAAAAGAGCCAGTTTGGTTTCCTCCTCTTTCACAGAGTGCTGCAGTTGTCACTGCTACATAGGAATGCAGAGCATTTGACAAGGAGGCGCTGAGCTATTTGACCTCGGTGAATGCATACGTGTCATCTTGCTGTCCACGTCTGCTTCTCAGGGATGCCAACTTAAGCCTGGAGTGTTTGAATCTCCTCTCCACCACTCCTGTCTGCTCCAGCCCCTCCCCGCCCCTGGCTTTCCTTGTAAACATATAATCTGGCCCACCTGCATTTTCTGTGTGTTTAGACCCCATCAATTATGGGAAGGACAGAACTTCCAGAAAGAATTATGACCTCATCATTTAACAAGCGTGTGAATTCATTGAGGGGTCCCTAAGGGGGATGAGTAGAAAAGCCAGAAGAAGAAGCTGGCTTAGGCTCTGTACTTTGTCTGCCACTTGTCAACGATGGTTTCACAAGTCTTTCCAGACACAGCCACTCAGGCTTCTTCCCACATCGCAGGCAGAATTCTGGCCTTTTATCTGACGCTGGTAATGCAGAGAGGACTGACTACCAGCTGAGATGCCACCTGGCCAACCCAAGGGCTACTGGGTGCTTGCACTGTAGGCCAAGCTTCTCCTGGCTCTACAGAACATTCCTACTTTCATCTTCTAAGGACTTCGCCCACCTGTTATGAAAAAGTCTAAACGTTTTAACCAAGTTTGTGAGACTCTCTGCTTACCTTTGCCCTCTCTGAAATCTCATGCTGTTTTGGAGGTTTCTAGAACTGCTTGGTTTTATCTGTGTTCAGTTTCTTTGGTCCCCCCTGTGTTTTGCTGTTTTCCCTTGTGTTTTGCTTTTTGAGGATGACCGCTGATAAGTGATGTCTTCTGCTTTTCCCTGGGCTGACCCACTCTAAGACTCTGGTGTATTTTCATTAGAGCATCTCTAACTCCCTGAAGTAGGTGCAGTTCCCTGCCATTCACATTTCTTTGTCCTCTGCTTCCTACATCTCTATTCAAAGTGACTAAATGTTTACTTTGATATGGTTTGAACATAGAATGTCCCCCATAGGCTAATGTACTTAAGCCTTTGATTCCCCCAGCTTTGTGTGGGTTCAGAACCTTTGAGACGTGGGGTCTAGCTAGAGGAAATGGGTTGCTAGATGGCAGGCCTTGAAGTTTATAGTTCACACTGATTCTTGTCACTTTCTGCTTCCTGATCCTTCCAGATGTGAGCAAGCGGCCTACTGTTCCTGCTGCCACAGTTGAGACTGTTCTTACCATCCTGCTTCCCTACCAAGATGGACTGTACCCTCAAACACTGAGCCAAAATAAACCCTGTCTCCCTTAAATTACCTCGTGTCAGGTGTTTGATGGCAACAACAATAAAAGTAGCAACTATACAGTCTTTGTACTGGATTTGGCCTCTGTGGAGACTGGCAGCATTCCTAACTCACAGCTGTTCCCCTAGTATCCAGTTGAATGCCTGACACATAAACCGACCCTGAATAAATGAATGGAAATCAATTATATGCAAAATCTGCAAAAGTGCTCTCATTTTTTTGATGGGGAAAGAGGTTAAAAGGGGTTAAATAAGTTACCTAAGGGTGCACAATTAGCAAATTGAGACGACACTAAGCTTTGAGCTGAAGATGGATTTCCAAATCCATGGTTCACAATGGAATTGTAGCATTCGCCTTTGTAAAATTTCTTACAGCTATCACAGAAAAAATGGGTATAGACTGTTTGTCTTTGAGTACAAATGAGCAGAAAAGGCTGCCAGGATTCTGATCTTTCTCTTATGTGATGTCACTGCTCTGTGAAAGAATCCAGGTGCTCCTGCCTCTTTTCTGTACCCTGAAACATGGCTTCTGACTCTCAACCATAGGTGGTAGTGGATCCCAGCAACCTACATCACTATCATTTAGCACTCCCTACAGATCTGCATAGAAAGGAGAAAAAAAGAGAAAGAAGCCAGAGTGACTTTCTTACATTCCTAGAGAGGTTGCCCAGGCAACAAAGACAGACCCAGCTGAGACATGCCACAGCATCTGCACATTCTCTCAGACTGATGCCTGATTCTGCGGGGAAGCAGCCAACTGTACTAACATACCCTTTTAACAGTGTGCCATCAAAAGCCTCACCTGGACACAAAATGCCCCACAGACAGCTAAAACAACAGCTCTAGATTCTAACTATATGGTCAGATGAGAAGCTCTGTGTTTGAGCTACAGGTGAAAAGCTTAGTAGTTCAATTTTGTAGCTGTCAAAAGGGAAAATTGGCCACTGAATTACACATTCATTTAAAAAAATTGAGTTAGTTCATACAATGGCAGCTGCTGACACAGCCTGTTGCTTAATAGCTGTGTCACTTTCCATAATGTCCCCATCATGAATTTGTTTGTCTATATAATGGACTTCTAAACATGAGTAATTACCAAAGATACTTTAGTGAGAACTGATAAAATGCTGGCAAAGTAGATAATTTGCGATTATTAGGGATTATTTGGGTTTCTTTCTATCCGAAACAGCAGTCTGATGTCACTGCTTCGAGAAAGAATCCAGGTGCTCTTGCCTCTTTTCTGCACCCTGAAACATTCTTTTGTTTCTATTTGTTGGCTTAAAATTTGTGGAGAAACAAAGTAGTACTGTGTTTGCTCCCATAACTAGTAACATGGATTACAAACTCTGCATGTGGGCTGTCTTTGTTATACACAGTAACACCTTCACCCAGCTGGGCAGAGCTCAGGACATACATAACCAGGGGAAATGAACTTGAAGCATCAAACATGGTGTGTGCAGACAGGAGAAAACAGTGTAGGATGCAGGTCTTTGGTGGAAGATGCACTCTCCTGAGAGCTGCTCAATGGGTTCTTCAGGGAGGCAGCGATAATGTACATAACCTGATCATTTTGTTCACAAGCACTTTCCACCTGAGGTATCCCAGCACAGGCGCTGTTCTTTGCTGCTCTGTCAGTCTCTGTCAGAAGACAGACTTCAGAGGCTTGCCGATGTATGGAGACAAGAGAAGACAAGGCTGGCCATAGGCAGGGAGGCCCAGAGCAGCCTGCTCTCAACCTGGAGCATTTTATGTATGCATATGAATGTATATACATGTTTGTGTTTATGTGTGCCAGTGTGTGCTTTTATATGCATATGTGTGTATGTGTAATGCATATGTATATTAGTATGTATATATGTGTGTGCATGTATATGCTTATTGTATGTATGTATGTGTATTGTATATATGTGTGTGTGTGTGTGCATGTGTGTTTGTATATGAAGAGTGAGTTACTATGTTAGCTATATACACCCATCTTTTTTAAATGCCCAAATATGCTTTCATTATATTAGAGAGCTATTTTTCAGGCATAATTTATAATTTTTAATTTACTCTTTGACCATCAAAACCTCTTTGAAGAAAATTTAAATGGAATAAACTATGTATGTGACTATTTCTTTAAATTAAACTATTTCTGAAAAAATCAGCTTTTTTTAGGGTGCAGGGCACAATGTGTTGTCTGTGGCCTTTGTTCTTGAGTTCTGAAAAATCCCCAGAAGCAAATAAACAACCTCCAAATGCTTATTTGAAAAGCTAGCACCACCAGTGACTCATTATTTGCAAACCATCTAGAATTTTTAAGAATACACCTCATGAAGTACTAATTAATAAAATATATGTCTTATTAATGTCCATATAATAATTACCCAGATCACAATTCCATCTGCTAAGTAGTCAGCAAACAAGACAAATGACTGTGTTCGGTTAAACAGATTATCAAATGCCTTTGGGAGAACAATCTAATAGCCCCAACTAAACCATGAATCAAATAGCCACTCCTTTTGCCACGTGGGCAGGCAGCAGCGATACCATCTCCCGTGTGAGGGAGGACAGAGCAGAGGAGACACGCAGCACCTCTCTCTCTAGAGAAGGCATTCATGCAAGTGATGTGGCCCAGGTGTTTGTTTCTCAGAGCCCTGTCCTGAAGCTTAAGATTTGGTCTCATGAAAAGGTGCAAGAAAAAAGTTCCCAAAGAATGTCACTTCCAGTTAAGCCCTAGCCTACCCGCAGCGTTCTGTGAAGTTTCTCAGCTCCTAATACAGAGAAGGAATTTCATCTTCCTGTGCGCGCGTCATTTCATCTCTGCCTCTCTTGTGACAGTCATTACCCAAATGTCTCACAGCTTGGGACAGGCACCTTGAGAACAGAGACCACCTCTTCTGAATCTCTTAGCGGCAACAACAACAACATCCAGCAATGACAACAAACCATGACTAAGTACCATTTCTAGTGACGTTGAGTGTACCAGTCACTTGGATGCATGCTTTAATTTTCTCAGCCGCTAATTCTTTGAGACATGTCACTTCATTTTCAGAATTCACAGTGCCACATCCTCGCATTGAGTATGGCACTTCCCTGAGGATGAATGACAAAGCTTGGACTTGTTTCTAAATGTGGAAGCTTCTCAGTCTGCTCTCTGAAACACTAGGCTTATATGCATGTATGCATGACTTGTACCTGCTCCAAGCAGTGCCTAGGTCAGGGCTCGGCATTAACAGACACTGATGCGAGCTGCATCCTTATCTGTAGTTTCTGCCTGCGTGTTCATTTTTACCAGGCTCATTTGCTGTCCAATGCTATCGTTTGCCCTGTTACTACTTGTTTTCCTGGAAGGCTCCTCTTACCTTTTTGTGGCTGTTGTTAATATAATCATCTCTCCGGGGCTCTCCTTTCTAGCTCCGCATCTGTCAGGGTGACATTCACAATTGGTCTCTCTCTTCTGTTGTTGTTCTGGGGTTACTCACATGTTGGGTTGCAGACTAGTTGGTAGGAGGCAGCCCAGTGTCCCTGACTTCCTCCCAGCTCTCTTCAGCATCATGGGCAGTCTGGTCTGACAGGACAAGAGCCCAGAACCTATTGGCCACTGACTTCACAATAGTCAATGTTTCCTGCTGATGGGGTAAGGGGCTTTTGCTGGTTTCATACTCTCGGTACACAGAATTTTCTTCCATCCTGATCATCATACTTCTGCCATGCATCCCGTGGACTTGGAGGCTTTGCCCTTGACTCTTACCTCTAGAATAGAACTATGGCTGGTTCACACCAGTCAGCACTTGGAAGAAAAAAAATGCTTCTAGATTTGTAAATTCAGCAACAAAGACGTTTCTTCCTCCTTACTGAACAATCATGTAGAAAGGAAAAGTTATTGGGTGATTTTGGAACCATGAAGAAATCCAACTTCCAGAATAAGAAAGATACTGTAAAAATCTTAAGAACAAACTTGGAAAGGAATTGGTTTGGATGATTAGTGAAACCACCTAATCAAGCCTTGTTCCAAAGCCTTTTCTGGGTTTTTCTATGAAAGAGAGTTGTGATTCTCTTTTGATCAAGATGGTTTTGAGGTTCAGATTTTCTCTGACTCAGAAATGGAAAGATTTTTAATAAACACAAGTGACAGTTCCTGCTCATTGTCACCACCCCCCACTACCCCAGAAATACAAACCTCACAGTGGTCTGAAGGATCAGAGAGTTTTCCTTAGTGGCTTATCCCAGTTCTCAGCCAGGAAAGCCTGGCTGCTAAAACTGGCTTACATGTTTTAAGTATGATCACACAGTACTGTCATGTATGTTGATGCTAGTGAAGCCTCCCCAGTGCTTTTTGTCTATGGTTGTCACAAAGCCTGATTGTGAAGATGTGATGAGATCATTACCATGGGACCAGACGTCATAGCCACATTCACAAGCAGGCCAGCCCACTGCAGCAAAAACCATGGGGCCCCTGCCAGGGTATCGTTTATATTAAATGTTTCCAGATGAATGGACAACTATCAGTTACTTAGAAAATGAGTGTTCTCTCAGTCCTATATGGGATGCTTTCATGAAGTCCCTGTCTCTAGAGCTCAGGTAACTCCACAGAAGAGAAGGTGAAAAGAGTGTAAGAACCAGAGAGGACGGAGGATACCAAGAAAACAAGACCCTGTAAATCATCACAACCAAAGCTCATACGAACTCATACTGAAACAGCACACACAGGGCCTGCATGGGTCTGCACCAGTTCATCTGCATATATGTGATGGCTACCAGTTTAGAGTTCTTATGGGACACCTAAGTGAGTGAATGAGTGCGTCTCTGACTCTTGTGCCTGCTAGCTGGCACTTCCTTCTGTTGGTTTGTCTTGTCCAACTTTGGTGTGATAGGTTTTTTTTATCTTATTATGTGCTATTTTTTATGTTTTTAAAAAATGAAAGAAAATGCAACTGCTAGGGTAAAGGTTAACAACTGAACAATCATTTGTGCCTGGAAAGGAAAATCAGTTTTCCTCCAATGGAGTGACATGGGGTATGCCAACCACCC